TGCACCTTCACACGCAGCGGCACGCTTCCCCAGCCGAGCGCCGACGGCGGCACAGCGGCCCGCGGCGAGGCCGACGGCACCCCGAGGGCCCGCGGCACTCGGAGGGCCCACGGGCACCACAGATGACTCTCAAGCAGGCACTTCAGCAGCTGCTGCGTCCTCCGCCGCTGCCCGTGACGAGGCGGGCCTGCCCCACTCGCTGCTTACCTCGTGGGTGCACCTGGGGGGCACGCTCCAGCAAACACCTCGGCGACTGAGCCCAGCCCCTCTCGCTGTTTACCTCTTGGGTGCACCTGGGGGCTGGCATTTGCGTTCTCATGTTATCGAGGTTACCCCCGCTTCAGACGCTTGGCAGCTGCCGCCTGGATCCGAGACTGCAGCTTCTTCCTGGCTTCTTTGAGAGCTGCTCTTGCGGCCTCGACTGATTCGCCTTCGACTTAAGCTGCTCTCTCTTTTGCTGCACGAACCTGCTCGGCGGCGTCTTCGACCAGCTGTGCGCCTGATTCGTCGAATTCCATGTCCACATCATCTGACGGCACATCAAGAGGGGGAGAAGCACGATTGCGGGCAGCCGCCGCCTGGGCCTCCTCGCCGCCCCTCAGAGAGCGAAACCATGCCTTGAACTCGTCGGGCGTCGCACCCACCTGCTGCTCTTCCATCCTAAGAACAGGCCCATCGGCGCAGGCCACCGACTTGGCGAAGCTCTCCCTGGCTTCCTGCTCGGGGACTGCGACCTGGCGCTCCGCCTCCTCCACCGACTGCTGAGCGTTGGCGAGACGCGTCTCGAGTGCGCCTCATCGACGTCCGGACTGACGGCCCCAAGCTTGGTCTCCAACGTAGTAGCGCACCCACGCGCCCGTTCCAGCCTGGATGCCATACTATGCTGCTGGATGTGGAGGGACCCATCGTCGACCCGACCTAGGAGTTGGAGCCCCTAGGAAAGCAGCATTAGAAGTAACGGTAAAGCTAAGCTAAAGCTAAGCTCCAGCTAAAGCTAAGCTACAGCTAAGCTACAGCTAAGCTACAGCTAACCTAAGCTAAAGCTAAGCTAAAGCTAAAGCTAAAGCTAAGCTAAAGCTAAGCTAAAGTTAAAGCTAAGCTAAGCTAAAGCTAAGCTAAAGATAAGCTGAAGCTAAGTTAAAGCCTAGCTAGAGCTAAGCTAAAGCTAAGCTAATGTTAAAGCTAAAGCTAGAGCTAAAGCTAGAGCTAAAGCTAGGGGACGTAACTGGGGAAACCGCGGGGCGGATACTGGGGGAACCGCCCGGGGCGGGCCTCACTGCCCGGCCCTTTAAGCTTACCGAGTAAGAACCTTTCTAGGCAGAGCCTAGGCAGGGAAATTTTCTGGAGCTTGGCCACCTGCTCCTCCACCAACGACTTGTCCTCCTGGTGAGTGGCAACCCTCGAAGCCTTCTGCCAGTAGGCCAAGCGCTCCTTGGTGTCCTTCTATGGACGTGGCTGCGGACCCCGTCACCATCCTCCATGGCGGCGGGGATGATGATGTAGAGGCGGGTTTCTCGAGCCCACCGAGGCGACTGAGAATCTCCTTGAGCGCGGAGTCCAATGCAGACGGCGCGCCCGCACTCCACTTCCCCTTAGGCGCTTTGCCGCCGCTAGCACCTGACGAGATGACCTTCTCATGTGCAGCTCGACCACCTGCTGCATTGTCTGAGAGGCCGCCGATCCACACGCACAGTTGACACGCGACGCCCAGTTACCTGAACGGTGGCACTTAGTGCATGCCCAGAGCGGCTTTTTTGGTGCTCTAGAGAACATCCGTCGAAACCATGGGCGGGTAGAATGAAACGACCTTGTCCACACGGAAGCTGACACAAGCGCACAGTGGGTGAGGCAGTGGTGCCTACCTACCCACAATGTAAAAGCTGTCATGGCCAGCTGCCTTGACGAGATGACAAGTTTAGCCCAAAATGGCTTGAGCCAAAATGGTTACGGATCTCCTCCTCCTCCTACTCCTCTTCCTCCTCCTCCTCCTCCTCTTCCCCCTCCCCCTCCTCCTCCTCCTCCTCCTCATCCTCCTCCTCATCCTCCTCCTCCTCCTCATCATCATCATAATCCTCATCATCATCATCATCATCAGCATCATCATCGTCATCTTCATCATCATCAATATCATCAGCATCATCATCATTATCCTGCTCCTGCTCATCATCCTCCTCGTCTTCTAAGTAATAGTATTATTAAGTTTACGATTCCTTTTATTATTCATAGTATGTTTGCTGGTAGTATAATTCGTCTTCTTATTAGTAGTATTAGTATGAGTATGCTGACTCTTCTTCTGAATCGTATGATTATTCATATGTTTCTCATTGTTGTTCTTCTTAATATTACTAGTATTAGTAGTGTGCTTCGCCTTCCTCTTATTGCTACTACTATTAATATTCTTAGTATCAGTCTTATGATTAGCATGATTAGTGTGCTTCGTAGTAGTCTTATTATTCTTACTAATGTTATTAATACTAGTATTAGTAGTAGTAGTCGTAGTAGTACTACTACTACTACTACTACTACTACTACTACTACTACTACTACTACTACTACTACTACTACGACTACTACTACTACTACTACTACTACTACTACTACTACTACTACTACTACTACTACTACTACTACTACTACTACTACTACTACTACTACTACTACTACTACTACTATACTACTATACTATTATTATCTTCGTCCTCCTCCTCCTCCTCCTCCCTCCTCCTCCTCCTCCTCCTCCTCCTCCTCCCCCTCCTCCTCTTCCTCCTCCTCCTCCTCTCCTCTCCTCCTCCTCCTCCTCCTCCCCCTCCTGCCCCTCCTCCTCCTCCTCCACCACCACCCCCCGCCTCCTCCTCCACATCCTCCTCCTCTCCTCCTCCCCTCCTCCTCCTCCTCCTCTCCTCCTCCCTCCTCCTCCTCCTCATCATCATCATCATCTCATCATCATCATCATCATCATCATCATCATCATCATCATCATCATCATCATCATCATCATCATCATCATCATCAGCAGCAGCATCATCAGCATCATCATCGTCGTCATCATCAGCATCAGCATCAGCATCAGCATCAGCATCATCAGCATCAGCATCATCATCATCATCATCAGCATCAGCATCATCATCATCATCATCATCATCATCATCATCATCATCATCATCATCATCATCATGAGCATCATCAGCATCAGCATCAGCATCAGCATCAGCATCATCATCATCATCATCACCATCATCATCATCATCATCATCAGCATCCTCATCATCATCCTCATCCTCATCCTCATCCTCATCATCATCATCATCATCATCATCATCATCATCATCATCATCACCATCATCATCATCATCCTTGTCCTCCCCCTCCCCGTCCCCCTCCCAGTCCCTCATTCTCCTTCTCGGACGGACTCCGCGACACCAGACCACTGAATCACACTTCGAGACACCCCGCTTGGCACCACGCGATACCACTGGAATGATGCCGAGAAGCACTGAGCCGCCGAAACGGACTTCGAATCACCACACACGGAACCACCCAGAGGGGGGAAAGAAGGAACAGAGGAGGGAGGAAGGGGGAGGGGAGGAGGGAGGAGGGCAACTCGAGGAAGCAGTAGGCAGGCTTGCCTGCAAGCAGAACACCACAATCGGGACAACCAGACTCGGAGAAAAGTGGGGCCGGATGCTTTTGCTTGGCGTGTGGCTACGGCGGCCCTGGCGAGCGGATACTGTGTCGCTCCGCTTCGCAGGACGGGAGGCTTGGACAGAGCTCGGGACGTGGACGGGCGGGGACCGGAACGTGGGCAGCGTGTCGCGCCGACGCGCGGCTGGCCAGAATATAGCGGAGCGACACGCGGACCCAAAGGTTCCAGATCGTAGCTCACGGCGCGACGGGGCGGCGAGCGGTGTCAGCACATCACTGCACACACCTCGTCCTCCTCCTCCTCCTCCTCCTCCTCCTCCTCCTCCTCCTCCTCCTCCTCCTCCTCCTCCTCCTCCTCCTCCTCCTCCTCCTCCTCCTCCTCCTCTTCCTCCTCCTCCTCCTCCTCCTCCTCCTCCTCCTCCTGCTCCCGAGCACGAGGCTGGGGAGGGCCGAGAGGAAGGCGGGTTCCAAGAGCCTCCCCGAGCCACCGGTGCTGCCTGGGCCCGCAGGACACAGCCGCCCTCCCCTCCTTCCACGGGCCACCAGGAGGTGCTGCAAGGCCGCCCCCCCCCTCTGGTACGACCGAAATCGGTACGTCGTTGTCGCCGTCGAGAGTCGTTCCTCGTCATCCGTCGTCGTCTCTCGTCGTCGTCGTCGTCGTCGTCGTCGTCGTCGTCGTCGTCTCTCGTCGTCATCGTCGTCGTCGTCGTCCCTCGTCACCTCTCGTCGTCGTCGTCGTCGTCGTCCTCGTCGACGTCGTCGTCGTCGTCGTCGTCGTCGTCTCTCGTCGGCGTCGTCTCTCGTTATCGTCGTCGTCATCATCGTCGTCGTCGTCTCTTGTCGTCTCTCGTCGTCGTCGTCGTCGTCGTCTCTCGTCGTCGTCGTCGTCTCTCGTCGTCCTCGTCGTCGTCCGTCGTCGTCGTCGTCCCTCGTCGTCTCTCGTCGTCGTCGTCGCCGTCTCTCGTCGTCGTCGTGAGCATCATCGTCGTCGTCGTCCCTCGTCGTCTCTCGTCGTCTCTCGTCGTCTCTCGTCGTCGTCGTCTTCTCTCGTCGTCTCTCGTCGTCTCTCGTCGTCTCTCGTCGCCGTCGTCGTCTGTCGGCTGGTGTCGTCGACCATCGGCCGTCGTCGTCGTCGTCGTCCGTCGTCGTCGTGAGAAGGATGGGGACGAAGAGTAACAGCAGTTCCTGTCCACTTCGCGCAAGATTCGCTGCCTGTGTCGCCGCGAACGTCGCCCGCTTGAGACAAGAGCTCAGGCTGCAGCTGCTGCCGGTGTTGGACAGCATTTGCTGCTGGGCACCGTGCTCGTCCCTTCCGCATCCGTTGCGGGCGTGCCGACCCCTGGTGGCTCTCCGCCGCGTCCTTGGGCGCCAAGCGCTACCGCCTCGAGGCTGGCGTCCGGGCCCAGGCTCATCAGCAGCTCGAAGGCCTCTAGAGCCCCAGGGGGGCAACGGGCAGGGAGGCCTGCAGGAGGCGTTCCAGCGGAGCAGTCTACCCAACCGCCAGGGTGGGGGTCTGAAGGCCCGATGCTGCGGTCTGTATGGGCCTGCGAGGCTTGAGAAGGGCTTCCTTGAGCGCGGTGCACAAACCATTCGATTTCGTCGAGGGTGGAACTGGTCAATCCTCTGGGAAAGCGTAGAAGACATTTACATTGGAGCCCAAAAGCGCAGTGGGGGATGAGCCGGAAATAGCCATATCATGAAAGTACTCAAACGGTCAAACCCAACAAGAGGGTTTCCGTAATTTGCTGGAGAGTGAACCTCATCGTCGTCCGTGTGATTGTGAAGCCTGTCCTCCTGTCTCCTCCCAATTATCCTTCTCCTCCTCCTCATCCTTATCCTCCTTCTCCTCATCCTTCTCCCCCTCCTCCTCCGCCACCCCCCGAGATTTCCGTGTAATCCACTCACAGACGAGGCTTCCGCTCGATATTTCCTCGTGGTTCGAACCACATCCTCACCATTTGCTCAAGAGCGACGTTCCGGCTCGAGACTCCTCGAGATCCAGGATGCCAGGTACAAAAAAACGATGCTTTACAGGTATTCCGAAGGGCTCCCCCTCTGGACGTCCTCGCAGTGACAGACGAGGCTCCCACTTGAGTTCTCCTCACGAGTCAAATCGCATCATCACCATTTGCTCACGAGCGAGGCCTCCACTCGAGACATTCTCGGGCTTCAGGATGTCGTGAAAAGTAGGACCAAGCACAACCGCACCGCACCGCCCGAGAGCTTGAGCTACAGGAACGACTGTCCGACCACCAAGCTGGGACCTTGGAATGCTGCATCCGTACCTGGCGGGGCGATTTCCAGCTGGAATGAACACAAGACCACGATGGACGCGCCCGCCTCTACACGTCGCCCATTTCTAGTCGTGCTCATTTCTATTTGTGCTCGTTTCTAACGGTTCCTGGCCCCCTAGTGGCCAGGAAGAGGCCCAGGATAGAACAATTAAAAATGAAAGGATCCTGGCCCCCCAAAAAGACCAAAGAACTCTCGAATAATTAGAACTGAACCATGTGTACGTATCCCGCAAGCCCCCAGCCCCCGCTCACATCGCAGACATGACGGTGGCGTGGCCGGCGCCGGCCGACGCATGGCGGCCCCGCGCCCGGCGACCGCCACGAGCGCTACCCTACGGGGCTCCTCGCGGCCAGCTTCGATGCAGAGCTGGGGGCCTTTCTTGGAGGCCTCGAATTGGAGGCCTCGAATGGGGTTGCCTCCACATGGGGAAGATGATCCTAGATTTCGGTGTTGGTGATAATATATCGGTCACTTGGAAGCCAGAATATTACCATCATCACCGAGATCGAGATCGTCTTCCCTCGGTGGAGGCACACCGCCGATCTTGGTGTTTGTGTCAACCTCTAGGCCTGCGACTTTCACCCAGACAAGTCCCTTATACCTGGTTGATCACGCCCCGGCGCAGATGCAGATGAACAGGGTATGGACTGCCATTCAAGAGGTTTTCCTGCTCCAGTCGGCCCACAACGCGTTGTGGGGTACTTCCTTGGCGATGATCGCATACGTCCTCTCCTTTCGGACGGACGATTTGGCTCACTAGGACGCCGCCAACTCAGTAGCTCGACTGGCCCAGGCCAGCGCTGCCGAACGACAGCAAGCCTCCGCCACACTGTCGGTCGGGATACCCGATCTGGACGTTGCCTGCTCCGCTGAAGCACCCGCCGCCGGACCTGGCTTCCTGGACGACGATGTAGAGGCCGCCCTGGCCACGCTTTTTCCGAAGGATCCTCCCGGCTCCCACTCGGGACAGTGCGGATGAGATTGCCCGTAGGCACCAGCTAAAGGCATCACAGACCCTGGTGCTCCCCCAATCCGCAGACCCGTTGGGGTCATCGGCGTGTGAGCTGCTTCCCCCTCCCCGAACCCCTCCCTCCTGGGCCCAGTCCGGTCGTTTTGGAGAGGGTCGTGTGACAGGAATCGGCACTTATCGACCAGCCTAGATAGCGGCGGCCAGGAAACACCTCAGCTGTACACTAGCAACTGGAAGCCCATTTCTTGTAGCGCAATGAACAAAAACTCATGGCCCTCAGAACGATGCGCCCCTTATCTGGTGGCAACAACTATCGCCGGGACCCACTTCTGACACCATGGAAGAAAGTCATACTAACCTTACAGAAACAAGGCGTTGCTCCAAGCAAACAAACCTTATCCTGGCGAAGGCACCAGCCACATGCAGCTGCGACTACCGCAAGGCAAATGATACGACTGGGTCTGTGCCAAAATGGCGAGGTCGCGGCGTGCTGACTTTTCCGCTGAGGCCTTCGGTGGAGCCCCCTAATTGGGCCACGAAACGCGCGAGGGGTACGCCGAAATGGGGCGGGGACGACATGCGGACTTTGCCGCTGGGTCATTCGGAAAATCTCCCTGTGGGGCCACGAAATGCGCGAGGTGTTAGCCGAATGGGGTGGTGCCGTCATGCGAACTTTGCCGCTGGGGCCTTCAGTCAAGCTCCCTATGGGGACACGAAACGCGCGAATGTACGCCAGCATGGGCTGGTGCAGCCATCCAGGCTTTCCTACTGTGGCCCCTCGGGGCCACGACATGTGTAAGGGGTCGGCCGCCGAAATGGGGCGGCCCCGCCATGCAAACTTTGCCATTGGGGCCCTCGGCGAAGCTCCCTATGGAGCCACGGAGCGCACCAGGGCCACGCCACAATGGTGCGGTGACGCCATGCGGACTTTGCTGCTGGTGTTTATGGTGGATCCCCCTGTGGGGTCACGAAACGCGAGAGGGGTGTGCCAAATGAACACGCGGAGGGCAGCAGTAGCAGCAGGAGGAGGGAGTCGGAGGAGGAGGGGCGGGAGAAGGACGCGGGGCGCCGTCTCTTCAAAACGGGGACCCAACACCGCAGGATGGCTGGGGACAAGAAAACGCAAACTGTGTCCTCGGCAACGTAAGGAGCAGAGCTATGACATTACGAAAACCAATACCATGCAAGACGAACGACCACCTTCGACCTAGAGCCTGAGCTCACGCACGGCATGCACTTCGGTGGTGCCCAGTTTGACTCCCAAGCCAGATGCGTGATCAGATGCAAGTGGCCACAAAGATTGGATCTCATGGTTTGGATGCTCATGCTCCTCACTCCTAGGTTCACTGCTCCTCCCGTTCCAATCGCCCACCCATGCATCGAGACAAGTCCTCCCATCTCCTATTTTGACTAGCTGACCGCGAGATGGGTATTCTGGTTTGGAACTATACGAGCCTGGGAACAAACACTGGCAATGGGAACCGTTCTAGCTTCAGCCACGACAGCTGTCGACGGCACATAGGGGGTGCAGCAGCAGAGGCTAGTCCTGTAACATTCGAACTGGTAGCGCGTGTAGCAGAAGCAACGGCGGTGGCAGTGAATCTGGTGACAAAGGACAAGAACCGAAACATTAGGCGATGTAAGGTTGCCTGGCCTGTTGCAGCAGCAGGACATCTCATGATGGCACTAGCTGCGTTAGCAATAATGTTGTTTGCTGTTATGGCCCCTCTCGTAGCAACTGCTGCAGATGAGATGCAAACCCAAGGAGATCATAATGGTACGTGTGGTGGTAGTCGTAGGGGTAGCAGATGTAATGAAAGCGGCACATTTGACCGTAGAACCTTCAAAAGGGCAACAATGACAGCACAAGTACTAGCAGCAACAGCAGCAGCAGTAGCGACAGGGGCATCCCATTGAGATAGATATGATAATCGCAGCCTGATGGCTCCAACAATGCACACGCTGTGCCCAATCGTACCTATGGTATGCGGTGTACAATGCTCATCGTCTTCACAAACACGCTTCGCCCCTTCCACAAGCCTATGTTGTGATACGCGCGTATGATTAGGCGAATTTGTACCAGGCTCCCACTCTGGCATCGCCGTGAGAATATCCCCACAAAGCAAGTACAAGCTATGCAGAAGCCGGACGCAGCAAATACTAGATCCTTGGTCATTGCACCCCTCGTCTTCAGAACAACGATAACGATCATCGTCGCCATCACCTTACTGTTGATACAACCATTGTCATCATCACCACAGCCATCATACCCCAACACGGGCTACGGCGGTGGCCTGCTCGAAGTTGCCACCGCACGCGTCCAGTACGCGGCGTGCCTGTGCGCGGCAGCCACGGGCCGAGCTGATGGGCCGCACCCGTTGGAGGGAAGGGAGCCGACTTCGTGGCGCAAGGGCGGCGGCGCCAGTCCAAGGAGCCACACCCACAAGGACTCGAGGGTCGTGGCACCAGGCGACGGCCGATGGCGACCATGGGCACGTCAAAATGACGGCATGGGGCGCCAGCACCCGCCAAATCTCAATGAGAGGCGAGCCGGGCATCCTCTCTTCTCCGCCCCCGAATGATATAGGCCAATGCACACCTTGGGGGTAGACAGAAACCCTTTAGCAAAACGTCCTGTAGTGAAAGCTACTAGGGGAACTCCGCGTGCGCACGGCACCGCATTCCGAGTGGACCCCAGCGGGGTAGCTAACCGAAGTTCAACAACAAAAGAATGTATGCGGCGAAACACACTTCGATGAGCAAAACCGCCTACGGACTCAGAATCAGTAATCAGAAAGCGGACTGCACCAGTATACTCGAAAGCCAATGCCGAGTGAACCGATCCAGATTTCCTCAGTCGACTTGTGTGGGCAGGCGTTCTCGCAATGCCCGAATACCACAGGGCACGTGTGTGAAGACCAGTGCTTCCAATTCCCGTTCGCTTGCCCTTGCAAAAACCCTGCAACAGTTGCTGCTGTACGACAGACTGTTCTGCCGTTTTTCGTCCAGAACCTGCTTCAAGCTGCGTCCATGTCCGAAAAGATTCAGTACACCCTTCAACCAATGAGGGCTGGATGACGTCATACAATTCCCGCGCATGCCTACTCACTCCCCCGTGTTTCTTGAAACCTGCGCAGCACGAGCGGTAGCAGCACAAACATGCGTTCCGAGCTGGAGCTCATGTTGGAAGGAAAGCCCAAGCCTGCTCCTGCTCAAAACCCATTTCCACCAGCATGCTGATGTCGAGCTCGTCGTTGACGTCCTTCCGAAAAGCTGCGTCCAGTCAAGATCGAAGAAGAAGCGGGCAGGGGAAGTATTGTCATGGTGAGGTGAACGGAGCGAAACGCAACCCAAAAACAGAGCGCAACATAGGAGACGCGCACAACAAAAGCAGAGCGCAACAAAGGAGACAGGCAGCCCGAGGGTTTTTTTTACATAGATCACTGCCGCCCCACGTCCTCAGCCGCGCCCAAATCTCAGAAGAATCAAACGAGCGGCTTCAAATTTGTTGGCGTCTTCTGATTCCCCGTACGCCGGCGTTCCGTCCACTTCAAGATGACCCCGCCCGAAAGTTGACCTAGGAGTGGGAGGATGATTCAGTCTTGCAACTGGCGCGAGGGACAGGTGCGCAAGGCCGACGTGGATTGGACATGAAAACGCAAGAGCAAACTTGAAATAAAATGAACCTCGCAGAGAGACACTGAGCACTCATCTACATGATCATGTGACGAATTGCGGAGACCACGCGGAGGCGCCATTCGAGGTGTTCAACGTGCGATCTAACACAAGTGTTGTTTTCTTGTGGGTCAGCTGCTGGTGCGAACAAAGTACGAGCCACAATGCCACAAACCATCGGTTCGGTCGATCTTCCAGCTGCATTCTCGAGCACATATGCCGTCATGGCCTTGGGGCCGCAAGCCACGAGGCAAGGAGCAAAAATCGGTTCGGCCCACCATCTCCACTCTCAAGCGTCCGCACCGCCGCAGCCGCTGGGTTACGAGCCAAGGGCCCCCGCTTCCGCTCGACCCGTCGGGCTTCTCCCCAGGGAATGCTCGCACCTGGAGGTCATCGTTCAGTTCGGAAGAAGTCTGCCTGTGGGTCGTGGTCAGCCGTGTGCATGCGGACTCGCTTTGGGTGACCTCTTATGCTTGGACGCCTCTGCGTGGACCCCTGCTGGCCGTGGTTGTCGTGGTGGGCCGACGGCATGCGGACTTTTCCCTGCGTGGACTCCCGCGCAGGGGCGCCCAGGGCCACGAGTGCTGCCCGCACGCGCTGCATGTTTGTTTTTGGTTTCGGACTCCTACGCTGGAAGTCCTAAAACTCCCAAGACGGGACCCCTAACCCGTTGCAGTCTGGACTCGTACGCGGGGAGTCCCACGCCTTGTTGCTCGGGCCCCATGAGAACTCGCTCGTTTGCCCTCCCGGTGCTCGCCCCTGCCTTGTATCACGAATGTGCGCGGCGTTAAGGCGAGAGCCACATTTTGAACATCACCCGGCATGATAAGAAGGAGGAAGAGGAGGCGGAGGAGGAGGAGGAGGAGGAGGCTGGAGGAGGAGGAGGAGGAGGAGGAGGAGGAGGAAGAGGAGGAGGACACCCCCCACCCCTCGTGGAATCGCAGCATCGGCACTCAAGCTTCCCCTGGGCCTAGGAGAGAAACCGTGACTGTCCGCCACCGTGCCGGGAGGCACGAGCTGGAGAGGCCTCAGGCTCATTCAGCCGTCCATCCTCGGTCCTGAGTGAGTGGAAAGGGCCCGGACACCCAATTGCCGGAATCCCCAGGGCGCGTCGCGTGCTGTCGCGTGACTTTCTCGGAACCAAACGGGCCCCGAGACGGGCCAAGAGGGACCCAAGAGGCCCCTAAGACGGTCCAAGAGGACCCCGATTCGCCGAGAGATCGCTCCAAGACGCCCAAGATGGTCTCAGAGGCCCAATATGCGCCCAAGACGCCCCAAGAAGACTCCCAAAGGCCCCTAAGAGGGCTCGAGAGACCAGAATTATTCATTCTCCCCACGAGTTTTAGCATTCTAGCCTTTTCGGGCTTTCGACCCTCCCAGGCAGCTCAAGAAGCCCCCAAGATCGCACCGAGAAGGTCCAAGAGGCACCCAAGAGGGGCCCCAGACTGCCCAAGAAACGCCCCCAGACGGCCCAAGAAGAGGCCCCCAGAACGGCCCAAGAGGAGCCCAAGAGAGGTCCCCGAGGGGGAACACGCACCGACATCCCGAGCCCTCCGAGACTGCCAGCAGGCCCCCAAGAGGCCCTAGTCATGCCCCTACAGGCCCCGAAGAGGCCCTCGAGAGGCCACCAAAACACCAAAGCATCCTCCAAGAGCTGCCCCAGAGGCCTCCCAAGAGATCCCCACAGGCATCCAAGAGGCCTCTGACCTACAATGAATACGCGCGGGAGTGATGGGCCAAAGGCCACCACCTGGATACACGAAATTCACGCATCAAAAACATGGACCCTGACGAAATAAACAAAATGCTCGCTAGGGCAAAAAAACTGCATCTGTTGAAACACGTGTACACATTACACAAATGTCGAGCACCCAGATGTTTCAATATCCCAATCCAATATGTTATGGCATGCTCGGGCATGTGCCGAATTCGACTGGATCTCACCATGCCCGGGAAGTGATACTGTGCGGGTCACATATTTTGCACCTGCTGTCACGACAAGTGGGACACCGTCAAAAACCACCGCGACCTAGTGAATCGATTGTGTCGATTACTGCATCCGCAAGGACAACTACTGTTCGAGCCTTACGCGACGCCGTCGTACCTGCCTCGACCCCGAACGTGCTGTCCGTATTACCACTGTTCCTAATAACATATGAAGCACCATACATCACAGTGCGTTCCTCCAACGGCGCCTGCACTTGCAGGCCCCTGCGTGTATGTCATGGAAGTGTGTATTATGTGGCGAACTAAAATGCTGTGGTCACAAAAAAAAACGATGAAGAATTGGACCTCAGCACCCAGTCATCGCCCATTATTTTGACGGTGGTCATCTCTCATCTCCCACTTCGTTTCCCGTCTCCCCATTCTCCTGTCATGCATCGTCCTCCTTCGCATCTGCCTCTTCCTGTTACTGCTCTTCGTGCTGCTGTCGCACCTTCACCTGCTGCTCCTCCTCCTCCACCTCCTCCTCCTCCTCCTCCTCCTCCTCGTCATCCTCCTCCTCTTTCCCTACCCCTTCCTCCTCCGCCTCCTCCTCCTCCTACTCCAACTAATCCCCATCCTCCTCCCCATGTTCCTCCTCGTCCTCCTCTTCCTCCTCATCCTCATCATCCTCCCCCCTCCTCTTCCGATGAAGCTGAAGGCGATGAAGCTGAAGGAGAAAGGGATATGTGTATATATGTATATATATATATGCATATACATATGTATGTGTATATATATAGATAGAGAGAGATTCAAGGAACCAGCAATACCTATGATCTCACATGGTTTGCGAAAATACAGGGCGCCACACCCTGTGATGCCATCCAGATCTTTGGGACCCATGGGATGTACAGCCCTGGAACCATGCAAGCTCCGATGGACGTGTGATATGTTTTGGCTGTTACACGCCGTAGCGAAACTCCACGCTGCAGTGTCTAAGGCCCGAAACCCCGAAATCCTGAAAAATCAAATGCAATTACCAGGTGTGTTAGGCTCGTATCTGAATTGCTTTAGCAAAGAGAAAGAGAGAGAGAGAGAGAGAGAGAAAAAGAGAGAGAGGGAGAGAGAGAAAGAGAGAGAGAGAGAGAGACCGAGCGTAAGCGTGCTCGGCGCAAAGAATATGTGTTCGATCACGCGCGCGAGCGCGTGCTCACGGAAATCCGGCCGCGAGGAGCATCGCGGGCAGGACGAGGAAGTTCAGAGGCAAGACGAGGGAGCACAAAAGCATGACGAGGAAGATCAGCAGCAAAACGGCCCACGATAGATATGTGTATATATATAAGAGAGAGAGAGAGAGAGAGAGAGAGAGAGAGAGAGAGAGAGACAGGGGCGAACCACAACCCTTGCGCAACGTGTGGCCAGAAGAGCTGAGGAGGAGTTACAGGGGCGATAACGTGACAAGGACCTATATGTGTCGCGAACGCGACTTGGGAGGCTCGCCGAGCTGCGCGGCTAGCAGGGCACCCATCGATGGACAAGCGCTTGATGGGGTGAGAATGATTATTGCCCGGATTCGAAAGGAGGGCGAACTCCCCCCCCCAAAAAGAGGCCCCCGAAAGTGGCAGCAGTCACCCAGGCCACACCCCCGAAAGGGAACGGCGAGGTCAAATCTAGGTCCGTGGCAGGTGCCCACTATGCTGGGCCCCAGCCGCCCTCGATCTGAGCATGGGCAGGGCCCCCGCTATGCCGCCCCCCCCCCATCTCCCAACAAGCCCTCGAAAGTGGCGACAACGTTGCAAATCGCAACCCCCCAAGGATGGCGAGATCAAACCTGAATCCGCGTATGGCGTCACTATGCTGCACCCCCCTTGCCGCCGTTGAAAGTGGCGACAGCGCCGCAGGCCGCAACCACCCAGGGATGACGAGGTTTTATCTGAGTCCGCGCATGGCGAAACTGTGCTCCCCCACAGGCAGTCCTCGAAAGTGGCAACAATTTCGCAGAGCGCAGCACCCCAAAGATGGCGAGGTCGCGTATGGCGACACTGCGCTGGCCCCCCCAGGTGGTGCTGTCGGCGGTGCTGCGGTTCGCGGCCGTGGTGCAGCTGCTGGTGGCAGTCATGGTGCTGCTGGCCGCAGTTGTGGTGGCAATGCTTCTGGTCGCAGTCGCGGCTGCAGTTCTACAGGTCGCAGTTGTGGCGTTCCTGGTCGCCGTTGATGGTGGTGCTGCTGGTCGCAGTCGTGGTGCGGCTGCTGGTCGCCGTCATGGTGGCGGTGCTGCTGGCCGCGGCCGCGGCGACGCCGCGGGCCGCAGCCGTGGGGGCGCTGGCGGCGGCGGCGGCGGCGGCGGCGGTTGTGGTGGTGGTGGTGGTGGCAGCCGTGGCGGCGACGGTGGCGGTGATGGCAGCGGCGGCGGCGGCGGCGGCAGCAGCGGCGGCGGCGGCGGCGGTGGTGGCAGCGGTGGTGGTGGTGGTCGTGGTGCTGGAGGTGGTGGTGGTGGTGGTGGTGGTGGTGGTGATTGTGGTGGTGGTGGTGGTGGTGGTGGTGGTGGTGGTGGTGGTGGTGGTGGTGGTGGTGGTGGTGGTGGTGGTGGTGGTGGTGGTGGAAGTGGCGGTGGTGGTGGTGGTGCTGCTGCTGCTGGTTTAGTGGTGGTGGTGGTGGTGT